GGCCCCGGCTGCCAGCTGGGCAGGCATGGAAGTTCCTTGCCCATTTCCCAAGCCGCTGGCAGGTCATGGGCAGAGACTGCAGGGTCTGTGAGCCAAGAGAATGGACATCTGTGTCCCTTGTCCTAAAAGAACCACCATTCAGACTATGATGGCTGCAGCCCCCACAACTGAACCAAGGGAGAAAGCCAGGTGCCCAGTGAATCTGGGAAATAGGGAGGTCACAGGTACAAGAGAGGAGCTGCTTCCTTGGGCCAGGAAATGGTCCTAAACAAGGACACTCCTCACTACCTGTCCAAAACTTGCAACCAAACTTACAGAAAGAAGGCATTGTCTATGAAGCCAGCAAACTGCAGATATTATCTTCAAAGTTAACCTGAGGCTGCACTCAGGGATCCTGACTCTTGCTTTAAGAGACTCTTTCATTAAGTCATGGCGCCCACATGGAAATGTTCATTCCACAGGACCCGGCATTTTGCAGATGTGGAAACTCAGACCCAGATGGAGAAGTCGCACAGCAGGTTGAAGGCAGAGCCAGGCTTAGACCCAAACACTGGAAGAGCTTCCTGAATCCCACTACTCACTACTTCCCCTCAACGTGACTTGGTTTGTTAGTGAGGACACCAGGTTTGCACTGACAGAGGATCAGAAGCAAATACCTGCTTTCACAAAGACGCTCTGGAGGACTTTTGTGGGCATGTTTCAAGGTCCTTTCCGAAACACTGTCAAAACAGTCTTGGGGAAAAGTAACTCCAATAGTTACTTTATAGTCTACTGAAGACAACATAAACTTATACTCTATAACAATCAAAAAGAAAATACCTGACGTAACCTTGGCCAGCAGACTAACTTCAGCCTAGAGAAAAAGGAACAAACAAACAAAATCCCAAACCTGCATCTGCTCCAATAACCCAGTCAAGGTCTGCAGCCAGGTCATGGTTTGGATATACTGCTCCGTGTTCATGATTCTGAGCTCGGATCGCAGCTCTGGAATAATTGCTCCGGTTCTCCAGCCATGCTTTAGGGTCAAATCCTGATCACAAAGATGACACAAGTTCTCAACAAAAGCTCCACCAAATTCGTACCATTCCATGACTTTTCCCAGACACAACGGGCATTCATTTAATTACGTTTTAATTGTAATGGTTGGTTATTAATCAAGTTGAAGTCAATCAATTACACTTAATTAGAACCAATTTGGCCGGAGCCTTTAGCCATTTCACCCCCAAGAAAGTTTCTGTTCTGGAATAACTGCTGTGACTCACAGCTCCTTCAGAAACACAGGGCCTGGAATCAGCGGCCATGCGTGTCTAAGACCAAGGAGGGCAGGGGCAGGAAGAGGCTCCACCTCAACACTAGCACAGGTCTTCATTCGATTCATCACGGGCTTCGGGAGAGCACTTGCTATGTGCCAGGCCCTCTGGGTTCTGGGGAATCAGGGAATCTTGGACTTGGAATGAGCACACAGCATATGCATACATGATTACATTTTTCATTCCAGATACTGAAACCCCATGACTTGACAATAGGTCAGGGTATCTAATATCAGCTATGTCCTGGAAAATCTAAGATACGCAGTTGACATGCCAAATGACCATTCATTTTCCCATTTGGCAAATATTTATCAAGCACTGCTATTTACCAGGCTCTGTTCTAAAGACTGAGAAAAAAGCAATGAAAGACAAAAAAAAAAAAAAAAAAAGAGAGAGAGAGAGAGAGAAATTTCTGCCCTTATGGAAAACAATGAAGAAGCAAATCAATACACAAGGGCAGGCGGTGATATATACAGTGGAGCAGGAGGGGAAGGAGTGGGGACAAGGAGTTACCATTTTATATAGGGTGGTGAGGAAGACCAGACCAGCCTAAAAAGGGACATCTGAGCAGAGCTCAGAAGAGAAGGAGGGTGAAAGTGCACAAATATGAGAACGGACAGATTCTGGTGGCTGGAAGAATAGCAATCAGAAAGGCCCTGGGGGGAACCAGCAGTTAGCGTAATGGCTATGTCACTGGACTCCCACATAGTCGACCGTGGTTCGTGTCCCAGATCCGGTGGCTTAAAACACACGGGGCGCATGTGTGTGCGTGCCCAAGATCCCGAGAGGAGAATGGAGGAGAAGGGATTGCAGTGTGGCCATCGCCCCTGGGGGGTGATTTCTCACTTTCTGTCTCTGTGTCTCTGTCTGTCTGGCGAGCACACGCGCCCTATAGCGAAAACCTCTCCAAAAAAAAAAAGAAAGGCCCTGGGGCAGGAACATGTGTGGGTGGGGGGGTTAAGAAGCAAGAAGTCAGGGGACTAGACCAAAGTATTGGGTTGTCAGGAAAGTCATGATGCATTTTTGCCTAGAAAAACTACATCGTGGCTTTCCCAATGACTCAATAGAAGAGGCGGAGGTAGGGGATGCCTTTGGAGAGGTGGGGGTGGGGACAAGATCAAGCGGGCAACTGGAGGAAGTCAGGTGCTTGCTCTGAGGAAGAAAGTGCTCGGATTTGAGGGACAAGTAGAATCTGTTTCAAATGTTCAATCTGGCTATATACTTAGCTAGAATTCTAAGCCCTAAGTAAGGGCTAAGGATGCCTACCTTCTTCACAGGATCTTTCTTTTCTTTTCTTTTTTTTTTTTTTTTTTTTTGAGAGATTTTTGCAATAGGGCACATGCACTTGCCAGAGAGACAGAGAGACAGAAAGGAAGAAATCACTCCCTGGTGGGGGGGTGGGGGGGGTGGCCATGCTGTAATCTCTTCTCCTCCATTCTCCTCTTGGGATTTTGGGCACACACACACACACACAAACACATGGCGTGAGTTTTAAAGTCACTGGGTCCAGGACTCAAACCACAGTCAACTACATGGGAGTCCAGCGATGTGACCATTATGTCATCTGCTGGTCCCACAGGATCAATTTCTTTAAGTCTTTCAGTATTTCTCTTTCTCCTACAATACACAGAAACCTACAGCACAGTCTTAAAAATATTATCGATGGTGGCGAACTTCTGAAGGTAGTTTTTATTTATTTTGATGCATTATAAAAGAAATAGGGGCTCACCAAGTGGTATGGTGGTTAAGGGCACTGGACTCCCACAGAGTCAACCACAGTTCAAGTCCCAGACCTGGCAGCTTGCTTTCTCACTGTCTCACTGTCTGTCTGTCTCTCTCTCTCTCTCACCTTCTCTGGTCAAATTAAAATAAATGGATAAATAAAGTTAAATTTTAAAATAATCATTAAAAAATGAATAGGAAAGGACACTGGCATTTATTTTTTATGTTTTCTTTCTTATTATTTAACAGGAAGATAATTCGCTAATTTCCATCATTTTGGGAAAAAAATATCTTTTTCAAACCAATCCATCCTGTTCTACAGTGAGTGAGACACAGGAAAACATGGCCTACTCCTAGTTTTTATGAAAGCATAAAAATGACTTAACAGAGAAATTTGTTAACATGGGACTAACACAGCTGTCCCCCAACCAAGGAAGAGAAAAAGGCTCCTCACCGCCAGGTCACTGTATATGTGATCACCGAAGTACAACACTTTGGATCCTCTCCACCCGGTAAGCTTCAAAAATTCATACAAGTTACCCTGAGACAAGAGAGAAACACAGATGGCAGATCATACGACAGATACCCATAAAGCCACAGTCCAAAACTTTCAAATGATTCAAAAAAATTTTTACTTTTGTCATTATTTAAATATTAAAATATAAAAATAAAAGCAGGGTCCCAGAAAATCATTGAGATCTTCCTTCTAGGTCAAATGTACTTTTCAAAAAGAATTCATCCTACATAAACCTCTTCATAACTATCTGTTTACATTTAACACACTGTGTCCAACCCTCCATGCCCATAAACTTTAATGTGCCATTTACAGTAGCTGAGAAGTCATGATTCATTTCACCAATTCCCGAATGTTAGACATTCACATGCTTGTCTATTTTGCAACTTCATGATAAGCATTCTTGTAGCAAAGTTTTATCAGCTACATGTTAATCATTTCTTAGGTTAACTTCCTAGACATAAAATAACTGTGTCAAAGCTAATTTTTTTCTTTTTTTAAAAGAATTATTTTATTGATTATATTATCCTTTTGTAAAATTTGCTATAGGGCACATGAGCTCACTAGAGAGACAGAGAGAGAGACAGAAAGTGAGAAAGCAAGCCACCAGGTCCAGGACTTGAATTGCAGTCACCCATGCAGGAGTCTGGCACCTTAACCATACCACCTGCTGGTCCTTAGAAGCAACTTTTTAAAGGTATATAAAATATAGTTACTGGAGCCAGCAGGTAGTATGGTGGTTAAACTGCTGGACTCTCACATGGGCAACTATGGTTCATGTCCTGGACTCCGTGGCTTGAAAATCATGTCAGGCGTGTGTGTGTGCATGCCCAAAACCCCAGGAGGAAAACAGATTGTGGCATGGCCATTCCCCACCCTTCCCCAGGGGATGATTTTTCACTTTTCTCTCTCACTGTCTCTATCTCTCTCCAGCAAGTGCATATGCCCTATGGCAAAAACCTAAAAAGAAAGAAGGAAGGAAAGAAAAAAATACGGTGACTGCTGAATCCAGGCAACAGCTATGGCCTCACCAAGAATGTTAACAGTATAGTACAGAGACCACAAAACAACTTTCAGTGGTCGCATTTATACACACAGCCAGGTGTCTGGTAGGCTTACGACCTAGGGGTATAGTCTCTGTCAGTATACTCTATTATTATTTATTCACACAATGATAAAACTACCTAACAACACTTTTCTCAGGACATATTCCCATCATCAAGCAATGCATCACTGCATTTGTAAAAAAAATAAAAATAAAAATAAAAAACCTACCTTCCATAACAGAATAATTGCCAGCAATTCCAATCATTCATTCAAACATGGGAGAGCCTTATATGACACCAAACTATATTAAATGTTCACGTATAACATATCTCATCAGGAAATAATTACTCATTTGGGTGAAAAATATGCCATGATGAAATGCTCCTTAAAGAGAAATTTCCAAGGTTTACGACGAGCATCTTACATTTTATATACTACGAAACTAACGCCTTAAGTTTTGCTTTAGAAAACTGTTGAAATCTGAGTGAATTTAGAAACTCTACAGAAGATGTAGAAACTTCAGCCTGTTTTACTGCCAAGGTATACGCAGTCAGTTTACAGACAGCACCAGGCCTGGCCCATGGCAAGCCCCAGTGAATGTCAGCTGTCATCACTATTACTGACCACGAAGCAAGCAATGCGAAGGGTACACTGGTCATGAGATACCTGCTTGTAAATCTGGCCTTTCTGCAACTTGTGGATCTTATCCCAGAGTAAGACGCCTTTCTCATTCACCTTCCGAAAAGGTCTAAAACAGAAATGATAAATGTTACGTTGCACAGTAATAGCACAGCTGAAATACTACATTCAATCAGGTAGTGACTCCTTCTAAAACTTAAAAAAAAAACCCTCAATCAAAACCTCCACCACATTCCCTGCCAAAGCATCATCTAAGGGAACTTGAAAAAGTTCAAGGAAAAATGCAATTAAAAGAATGAGTTTGTGCAAGTGCATAAAAAATCAAACAAAAACAAAACAAAAACAAAAAAAAACAACAACAACAAAAAACAGTGAAGCCCATGCAGTTTCTTCATAATATGCATTTTTCCATGAACTTCTTCTTTTTTTTTGAGAGAGGTTTTCGCTATAGGGCGTGTGCGCTCGCCAGACAGACAGAGACATAGAGACAGAAAGCAAGAAATCACCCCCCAGGGGGGATGGTCATGCCGCAATCCCTTCTCCTCCATTCTCCTCTCGGGATCTTGGGCATGCACGCACACGCGCCCGGCGTGAGTTTTAAGTCACTGGGTCTGGGACACGAACCACGGTCAACTACGTGGGAGTCCAGCGACATAGCCATTATGCTAACTGCTGGTTCCCTTCCATGAACTTCTTATAGACCTTTTCATACATCCTAAATTATACATAATTCAGTATCCAAAGGTGTTTTGTACAAAAATAATAATAATTCAGGGTCAAATAAATTTGGAAAACGTGGGACCAGCCGATGACGGAGTAATGGTTATGTCGTTGGATTCCCATGAGGTCGACCACAGCATAGGCCCTACAGCAAAAAAATAAAAATCTTAAAATAAGTAAATAAATATTTTAATAAAGAAATCTTAGCACCACTGAGTCCCTCAAAACTAACAGCAGCACACCCAGTTACTATCTCCCCAAATTTTCTGCTGACCACTTCCCAAGGCTACTGTGGCAGGAAGAGACTGTAAGACATGGGAGAGCTTTACTCCACCTGATGCAAACCCAGGTTGCAGACAAGTCCTATAAAACCCGACTGGAATTTTAAACATGCCCGTTAGAGCCCCATTTAAAGAGACACCCATTAGGTCCTTTGTTGTCGCTGTTGTTTTCTTATATTTCATTATAGGTCTGTATCTAAGGATCATCTGATTTACTACATGATATAAAGTTTGAATTTTTCACTATGTCAATCATTTTTTTAAATAATTATTGTATCCAATTTTATTCACCATAATCATCATTATTATTTTAGTTGAACAGAGAGAGACAGATGGGGGAGAGAATTGAGAAAGCAAGCTGCAGGTCTGGGACTCGAACCATGGGTAGCCATGTGGGAGTCCAGGGCCTTAACATGCCACCTGCTGGCCCCAAGTCAATCATTTTCTTAAAGCCTGACTCACGGGTCTGAAGCAGCCTGGGTTGAATTGAGAAGCATCTCAATACTCACAAGCTGTCTGCTCTTTACTAATCTCACTGTCCTCGTGATGATTTGCTAGAAAGGTTAAAAATCGAAAGCTATAATCTCAGATGCTTCTGATTTTGCCAGCTAGATTTTAGCAGGACATACTACATATGTAGTCCCAGCAGCAAAGGAATAAACTCTAGGTCTCCAGGGAAACAGCACTCACCTCCGCTTATCGTTGAAGAAGTTTGGCTTCTCAGCCTGAACGATGACGACATCAAACAGGTCCCTCCAGTCCTTCCCAACGATATACCTCATTCCTTTGTCCCTAGAACAAGCCAGCCAGATCAGTCTAGCATGAAAGGGAGTAACTACTTTGTGCAAATTTTTCTTTCCAATTTCCAACTGCCAAGTTATATAGAATACAAGAAATGAGCCAGAAACGTAGGGCGACTTACACAAAGCTGCTGGGGCTGTTGGTGATGAGGAACATCTTCTTGCCGTGATCGGCCAGTTTGGCCAACACTGCACGGGTCTGCTCAGCATAGCAGATGTACTTTTCTAAGAGCAAGAGGAAAATTCACACACAGAGTCAGCATGAAATCGGTCCATCTGCTAATACTCACCACGTGAGGCACATTGGTGTTGCACTGCTCTGGTTGGGGAATAAAAGTCCTAAGGAAACTTGACTCAGGGTGCACAGGAATACCCAGCACATCATTAACAAAGACCTCACCTCCTTGGTCTACGTGGGAAAAACTAGCAGGCTAAGGGCTTCCAGACCCTGTCCTTTTGAGTCAGAATTATGTCTAGCTCTGGGACAGAGCAGGAGACATCTACGATGCCAGGATGCCAGACCCTTGGCTGGCACCCAGAGGAGATGCACAGAGCCCCTGCTCCGCACCTGGGACTTGAGCATGCCCAGTTGAATGCCTGCTCTGCTGCACAGTGAGTGGAAAGGCCGATGACACCGTGCAGTACGTACCAATGTCTGCTTCGATGGCTCTGTACATGATTCCTTTGATGTGCACGTCTCGGATTGCATCCTGTCGAAACACATTTGTAATCACTGAAAGTGTAACTGACATAGCCTGAGTAGTAGCTCACATGAAAAGGCACTGGAGGTTAGCAGGTGGCGGAGTGGTTACATCACTGGATTCTCACATGGCCAACCATGATTCGAGTCCTGGACCTCATGGTTTCAAACTCACGCTGAGTGTGCATGCATGCATATCCAAGATCTCAGGAAGAGAATGGAGAAGAAGGGATTGTGGCATGGCCATCCTCTCGCTGTCTCCAAATCTCTCTATCTCTCATTCCCTCGCATCCCAAGACAAAAATCTCTTAAAAAAAAAAAAAAAAAAAAGGAAGGAAGGAAGGAAGGAAGGAAGGAAGGTAGGGCATTGCTGATCACTCTGTCTTTAGAAGTCTGGCAATCTAAGCTCTGAACAGAAACTAAATTCTGGTCCATTTATCATAGGCATTCCCTTGGGAAAAGCTTAAGTTTCCCTGGTAATAGTGGCAGTACCTGGTGCAATTTACAAGTGTCACCTGGCAGATGTCATTTATGTGAATAATTCTGAATGTGGTCCCACGTGACAGTCATTTCTACACAGTATCATGGACAAATGATTCCAGGTCATCTGGGCAGAGGGAACCCTGGCTCTTTCTATCTTTGCATCCTCCCTTGCCCATCCCTAGACTCCAGCAGCAGGTCTGGTCATCTAGAGACAAACAGGGAACAGGGTCCTCCTCTCCCTGGTGCTACCCATGGGGCCAGGAACTGTCAATGAGACATCAGCTCAGGCAGAGAGCTAGTACTGCTGGCAGAGGGGGAGAGGAGGAGGTTAACCCTTTGTAGGCTCAGGGGCATGGCAGCCTGATGCATCGCAGGTGGCACTGCACAGGCCTCTACATAAACAACACTCCCGGAAGCACAGGAGAACTTTCTGGAGCCAGGAGCAGAAGACTGGGCTGCAGGTACAACTGTGCCCTGGCCTTAGACTGCAAGTGGAAGATTTCTGTCCAAAGCAGGCATGTAACCTCACCTCTATTCCCTTCCAGCAAAGGCCACCCTCAGTGTCACACCAACAGTAGAAGGCAGTAGTTAAATGCAAGCCAAACTGCCTGGCTTCAAATCCAGGCTCTGCTAACTTACTAGCTGTGTGATCTTACACAATTACACAAGTATTTGACTTCCCTGTAAAATAGGGTGCTGATAACAGTGCCCGCCCCAAGGTATTACTGTGAGGATTTAGTGAGGTAATACACAGAAAGCACTGAGAAGGGAACCAGGGACACAAACTGCGTACATGGTGGAAGAAATACTTGTAAAAGCCAAACTTTCAAATAAACATCTCTCCTCAAGAATGGAAGGGTTGCTACGAGTAATTCCTAAAGGTTCTGGAAGATGAAGTACGTGCGTACCCCAAGAGAGGAATAAAAACTGAACACTCGCTTCTCACCTAGGCACAGCCGCTTTGGCTCCACACTAACTCAAGCGCCCTGTGAGGCTGGAAGCCACGTGGTCGACTGCAGGGTTGGATCCCCAGGTCAGCCTGAACACATGACGGGCATATTCTGAGGGGTTGGAGGCTAGAGAACAGGGGTCGTGGTGAGACCAGATCCTGTCAAGGAGACCTCTTACCCTCTCTTTCTATCTCTGTGTGTGTGCACATGGAATGTAGAGACTGATGCCGAGAAACTATCATTCATCCTTCCTCTTCATAAAACCCAGGATTTGGACGGTCAAATTTTAAAATTACTCATAAACATATAATAAAAAACATATAGGTGTGTATATGTGCCTTTTTAAATGTAAATATTTTAAATAAACACATATTCATAAATAACATATACTATAAATATTGAATTATTATGTACGTTTTTTAAAGAGAATTATTTATTAATTTTTTTTCAATTTGCTATAGGGCAAATGTGCCCACCAGAGACAGACAGAGAGAGAGGGAAAGTGAGAAAGCAAGCTGTCAGGTCCAGGACTCGAACAGTGGTGGATCATGTGAAAGTCTAGCACCTTATCCACTACACCTCCTGCTGACCCCAATTACATAAGCTTTCAAGCACTGGAAAAGTTTGTGCAGCTTAAAGAACATACATAAATATATAAGCACAACTAAATACAAATATAAATTAAAACATATACAATAGATATTTAAATAAAAACAATGTGTATGTATGAAACTAAGTATTCATATTTGACTATATCCCTCTCCATGGGATTCTTCCTTAGTTTCTGCAGAGGCTCAGAGGGCCATGTGGATCTCTGTGAGTGAGAGAAAAGCTACCTCCTCTGGACACAGGGACAAAAGGACACTGGCCCACAGCCCAGAGCGTGAAGCGTGGCTCTTTGTGTGAAGAAGAGATGGCCCTCTCTGCAGGCAGGCAAGCTGGGCACAGGTCAGACCTCAGTCCTCACCACCCTTTGGCCAGGTACACTGGCACTGCCCTCTCGGTCAGAAAGGATTAGAATTCCAGATCACAACACGAGCTCCATCTCGTTTTAACAAGAACTTGACTGATCCCCCATTCTTCTGATGTGACATCTTTCTTACAGTTTTCAAAGTTAAACCCCAAATAAAGGAGACCCCAGCAGAAAGACTACTGACAGCACCCAATCTTTTTTTTTCTTCTTTTTTTTTTTGGAGAGATTTTCTCTATAGGGCGCGTGCGCTCGCCAGACAGACAGAGAGAGACATAGAGACAGAAAGCGAGAAATCACCCCCCAGGGGGGATGGTCACGCCGCAATCCCTTCTCCTCCATTCCCCTCTCGGGATCTTGGGCACGCACACGCGCCCGGTGTGAGGTTTTTTTTTTTTTGAGAGATTTTCACTGTAGGGCGCGTGCGCTCGCCAGACAGAAAGAGAGAGACATAGAGACAGAAAGCGAGAAATCACCCCCCAGGGGGGATGGTCACGCCGCAATCCCTTCTCCTCCAT